GACACAGAACAATGGGATGCAACCATGTGGCAAAGGACATTGCCCAACCCCCACACCAATACACAAACAGTACATCCCATAATAGTTGGCTGGACAGGGAGACACAGCACAATGGGGGGTAGCACATGGTAAACAGACAATGGACAACACACTATACACAGAACTCAGACATTCACATACACACCCTGTAACCCTTAACAGGCACAGGGTGCCTTAAACATAATGAGGGGGACATGAGCTGACCAAGCGGTCCCCCCACCCCCAAAAGTCACTCCCGTCACATATCTCCCCTTTCGGTAGGAGAGTAACACAGGAGTAGATCCCAGACGGATGTACTCTGAAGTTACTCTGCACCTCCAGTCTCTCAATGCCAGCACCCACATAGTACCGCATGCAAATTGTCCCACACCAAGCATTACTCACCCAGCCAACCTCTGCCTCTCCCGTAGAACATACCCGCCGCTGGGGAGAAGTACGGACTGGTCCTTCTCCCGGAAATCCTCTCAGCCGCTGGAGAGAAGACAGGGTGGCTGGGCCTCCTTCATCCCTCTGTGGGGGATCTGGGCCGACTGCCCAGCATCCCTGGGGTGTCCAGGTGGTGGCTGTAGTTGCTAGGCAGAGGCCAGCGGCGCTCTGCCCTGTTGCCAGCACTTCTGCTGGGGACCCCACATCTGCTCCGGCTAACCGTAGGGGAGGGAGGCCGGCTTCCTCCCCTCCCAGACTGTGGATCTGCTGCTGGGATGGAATTCCGCTGTCACTGTCCCCCTGGTGCACAGATCCTGGCTTGGGAGGGGAAACAGTTTCCTCCACTCTGGCTGACTGTGGGGGAGAGAGGACAACAACCTCCTCTCCCTTCTCACCCTGGGCCTCTGAAACTACCACAGGCATGGGGCAGAGGTCCTGGACCCTCTGTCCGGTTGTCAGCACTTCAGCTGGCGGCTCCCCGGCTGGTTCCTCCTCAGAAAAAAAAGTCAATCAAATCCCCAGCCTCTGGAACTGGGGTTTGGGAATCGGGGCTCACCATCTCCTGTCCGTGGAACTCAGGAGACATTACCAGTGCTGGGCAGAGTTCAGTATTGTTTGGCCCTGTTGCCCGGTCTACTGCTGGTTCCTCCTCGGCTGAGAGGTCTATCAGATCCCCAGTCTCTGGAATTTCCACTGCTGATTCTTGGGCATGCTGCCGAACATGTCCTAGCAGCTGCCTGTATGCTCTTTCCAGATCCAGTTCTTTCTTCAGCAGGTATTCCAGATCTGGTTTAAGTTCTGAGACCCCTGTGAGACCGAACATAGCCTCTCTGCCTTCTCGTAACTCCTTCAGAGTAGGTTCTCCTCTATCGCCAAACAGAAAAAGGTCTGTAAGGCTCTCCCACAACAATCCAGGCCCACCAAAGTCAAGTCCCTCAGGAGAGCACTCTGTTGACACCCCTAAATATTCCTGCTCTGCGTACCACCGCAGAGCCCGATATCGATTGTCCAGTTCTATCTCCTGCTGAACCAATCTGTCCAACTCAGCCAACAAATGCTCCTGAGGTTGCTCTCCCAGAAATGGCATCCGTAACTTCCAATGGTCCCTGACCCGTTCCCCTGGGGTTGGATAGCACTTGCCTTTGTCCATACCAGCAGCCTGGACCGCTCCTCTCCAAAGCACCTCCCAAATCCGCTGCCTGAGCTCCAGGTACTGATCCGTAGACACAGTCCTGGGGTATGTTGCAAGGATGATCTGCAGCAGCCCTGGGAACTCTGATGCCAGGTCCATAGCTCCACTGGGGTGACTGACGTCTTTTCCTGCTCTTGAATCCCGGTGGTGGTTTGGATGTGTTTACAGCTGGAAGCACAATCCCACCGCTTGCCACCAATGTAACGGAACCGGAACCCAGACCGCACTGAGTTTTTCCGTTATAGCACAACTTCCCCTGTCCGAACACCATCCACGGACCACACCCTCGGAATCCCTCAGGAAAATAGACAGACAACCAGCTCTTACTAAAACAGGAAGTCAACTCCTCTTTATTTTACACAAAACATGTTTTATACAGAGGGCGGGGAAAGACAACCAGGGACAGGAAACACCTCATCACCCCTCCCCATCCAACCAGACACAGAACAATGGGATGCAACCATGTGGCAAAGGACATTGCCCAACCCCCACACCAATACACAAACAGTACATCCCATAATAGTTGGCTGGACAGGGAGACACAGCACAATGGGGGGTAGCACATGGTAAACAGACAATGGACAACACACTATACACAGAACTCAGACATTCACATACACACCCTGTAACCCTTAACAGGCACAGGGTGCCTTAAACATAATGAGGGGGACATGAGCTGACCAAGCGGTCCCCCCACCCCCAAAAGTCACTCCCGTCACAGCCACTAATAAGCATCAGAGGACACGGTAGGGAGTCACTCTTCTAGCTTTGGGACGCCAGAAGGGGAAGTTGGTGACACTCTTTCCCCCCTGGACAGATGATGTCTACAATCTTGTTCTGCATCGAAGTGAGCATGAGGAACTTTATTAAAAAGGGGTTTTATAAAATGCCAGACATGGCCCCGATATATTGTTGGTTGATTCTATAAGGGGGGACTGGCTGGGTGATGGGCTCTACAGGCCTGTGTGCGAATTTTTGGTGGCTGCAGGATGCTACTTGTGCTCACCACTGCACCAGCTTGTACTGCACTTATGGGACTCAACACGTCACCAAGTGATACTGCAGTGCTGGTATGTAAAATTTCAGGATGTACTAGGCCGCTGGTGCTTGCCAGTCACCAAAAGGTGGCATGGCACTAGTACTGGCACTCTGCTGCATATAAGACAAGTCATGCAATCCCGGCACTTCAGCTTCATGGGGTTGGGTATGCCTGATCTTAACAGAGACCTCTTCTCTATCATCCAAGCTACCTGTCAGGGTGCCGCTGCTTTCTACAGGTTCATATTCTGAGGCAGAATCTGTCAAAGAGGCAATCCCTTCAATCTCATCTGACATACTCAGAATCCTGTAGGCCTCTTCATTAGCGTACCTCTTTTGGGGCATTTTGGGCTCTAAATTTACAAGCACCTAGTGCGACTAACAGGAAAAAGAGCGTCTGGCTGTCAGGAACTGCTTGAACCATTACCGATAAATTTCACCTGCTAGTGCTAGCAGAGATCAGGCCTGATTGTGCTAATGCTGTGGTTTTGTATGCAATGTATCACAGGCGATAGTGATCAGAAATTACAATGACACTGCACTTCTTGCTGGGAGAAGGGACTAAATGCTAGAGCTGGCAGCAATTGGGGTAAGCATGCTAACACTGTGTATTTGGGGACACTATACTATGAGGGCACTAGTATAGTTCTTTTCATGATCAATATATTGATCTGTACAAACATTCTACTAGTAATAGGGATGATAAGCGACCTATAGCTGAGTACGATGGTGGCCAGGCAATCTAAATCTGACCCTGGCCAGGAGGGGCACTAACTGACCCTGACGCTATCTGACGCTATCTGATGTCACTAGTGGCAGGAATACAGTGATAAATGAAAAATTCTATATACTGACACTGTACTAATGGCACTGGCTGGGTGACAAGGCTGATGAAAGGGTTAATAGGGGCGATCAAAGGGTTAAATGTGCCAAATTAATGTGCGTATGTGTAAAATGTGCGGCTTTTCCCCACAGTGTGGTGTTCTCCCTTCTCTCTCCGGCATGAGAAGAGTTCAGAGAGAAGAACCAGCTAGTTCCTGGGCCTCTATATATAAATGCAGACACAGGACTACTCCTCCATTCACTGCAGGAGATCAGCAGAGTCCTGGGCAAAAATCACTGACTTGGAACACTGATGATTTGCTTCTGCAGCAAATGGCAGGTAGGGTCAGTGGGGTGTGTGTGCGCATGTGTGCTCAAAACCCAAAAGTATCAGGTGACGTACAGGTACATCGCTTTGCCTGTAGCCACCACTCACCTGCAGTACATTGTGGGTGGCAAGTGGGTAAAAATGGCGCTGTTTACATCCGGGGAAACCGGAAGTGATGACAATGCTCATTGCTTCCAGCTTAATATATCATAGAGCTCATGAGGGACCTTCCAGTCCTCAAAAAACTCTATGGTAAGCTTCTGGGTTCATTGGCTTCAGTTCTGGGTTCTCGGTTGGAACACAGAACCCATAGAAGCACAGGTGGGTTGTGTTGGGAGGGACCCCTCCTACTGCCTGTAACAGCAATCCAGCAGCTAATTAACTTCTAGGATGACTTTTGCAAACAAGCCTTCCACCAGCAGAAACAACCAATACCGGGATGATGCATGTAGCTGCAGATATCATCCTGGTATACCAAAATGTATATGTACATTAGGAGGTCTTCAGGTGGGTAGAGTAGGGACTGGCCAGAGAGGGATTACTTTGTTGTAGTCGGCCAGCTTGAACATGTATTGCAATGTGTGTGAACCATAAATTCCTGTTTAACCTGTCACACTTTGAATGACAATTGCGCAGTCATGCAACACTGTACCCATATGAAATTTTTATCATTTTTTTGAGACAGATAGAGATTTATTTTGGGGGTATTTAATCACCTCGGGGTTTTTGATCTTTTGCTAAACAAACCAAAAACAACTGAAAATTTGGAAAAAAAAAAGTTTCTTAGTTTTTGTTATAAAATGTTGTAAATAAGTGATTGTTTGCCTTCACTGATGTGCGCTAATAAGGCTGCAGTGATGGGCACTGATAGGCTACAGCGATGGGCACTTATAGGTGGCACTGATGAGGAGGCACTGGTAGGTGGCACTGATGGGCATTGACAGGCATCACTGATGGGCACTGCAATGCAGCACTTATACGTATATGGCACCGATAGGTGGCACTGATAGGCTGCACTGACTAGCACTGATAGGTTGAACTGACTGGCACTGTTAGGCGGCACTGATAGGCAGCACTGGCGGGCACTGATAGGGAGCACTGACGGGCACTGATATGCAGCACTGATGCACACTGATAGGTGGCATTTATTGGAAGCACTGATAGGTGGCACTGACTGGCATTGATAGATGGCACTGACTGGCATTGATAGGTGACACTGAAAGTCAGCTCAGATGGGCACTGATATGTGGCATTGATGTGCACTGGTAGGCACTGATATGTGGCATTAATGAGGCACTGATGGGCACTGGCAGGTGGCATTGATGAGCACTGACAGCTGGCATTGATGGACACTGACAGGTGGCACTGCTGGGGCTACACTGATCATCAGGGCACACTGATTACCAGCTCTTCTCTCCTCTGTCAGCGTAACAGCTGGTGAGGAGAGAAATGCCTAAAACTGGCATTTCCCTATTTACATGAGATCAGATGTGATTGGATACAGCTGATCACAGGACCGAACCAACATCTTCGGCTCTTTCTGTTGATCGGTGATCCGCTGTGTCCGAGGGAAACAGCGCACCACCGATCGCCACGCTGCACACTCCCGGAGCCGCGCATGTGTGGTTAGAGTGGGAGGACGTCATATGACTCCTCCCAGAATGAGAGAACCGTCTTGCGCCCGTCATTACCTTATATGGTGGGCAGGAGGCGGTTAATGTAAAGTTTGCTAGAAATGTGCGGAGGGGTATGGCAGTGCGCGGAAGTGTATGGCGGAGTGCGGAGGTGTATGGCGATGTGCGGAGGGGTATGGTGGTGTGCGGAGGGGTATGGAGGTGTGTGCAGGGGTATGGTGGTGTGCGGAGGGGTATGGAGGTGTGTGCAGGGGTACGGCGGTGTGCGGAGGGGTATGGCAGTGTGCGGAGGGGTATGGCGGTGTGTGCAGGTGTATGGCAGTGTGCGGAGGGGTATGGCGGTGTGCGGAGGGGTATGGAGGTGTGTGCAGGTGTATGGCGGTGTGCGGAGGGGGTACAGCGGTGTGCGGAGGTGTCGGGTTCCGACCGTAATACACCAGGGGTTAAATCTGCCGCAGACTTTGGTGTCTCTTCTGCTGGATCAGACCCCCCCAGGAGTTCGGGATCCCAGAACACACGAGGCACAGGCAGGGATCCCGGAACACACACGAGGCACAGGCAGGGATCCCGGAACACACGAGGCACAGGCAGGGATCCCGGAACACACGAGGCACAGGCCGGGATCCCGGAACACACGAGGCACAGGCCGGGATCCCGGAACACACGAGGCACAGGCAGGGATCCCGGAACACACGAGGCACAGGCAGGGATCCCGGAACACACGAGGCACAGGCAGGGATCCCGGAACACACGAGGCACAGGCAGGGATCCCGGAACACACGAGGCACAGGCAGGGATCCCGGAACACGCGAGGCACAGGCAGGGATCCCGGAACACACGAGGCACAGGCAGGGATCCCGGAATGTGATTGGATACAGCTGATCACAGGACCGAACCAACATCTTCGGCTCTTTCTGTTGATCGGTGATCCGCTGTGTCCGAGGGAAACAGCGCACCACCGATCGCCACGCTGCACACTCCCGGAGCCGCGCATGTGTGGTTAGAGTGGGAGGACGTCATATGACTCCTCCCAGAATGAGAGAACCGTCTTGCGCCCGTCATTACTTTATATGGTGGGCAGGAGGCGGTTAATGTAAAGTTTGCTAGAAATGTGCGGAGGGGTATGGCAGTGCGCGGAAGTGTATGGCGGAGTGCGGAGGGGTATGGTGGTGTGCGGAGGGATATGGAGGTGTGTGCAGGGGTACGGCGGTGTGCGGAGGGGTATGGCAGTGTGCGGAGGGGTATGGCGGTGTGTGCAGGTGTATGGCGGTGTGCGGAGGGGTACAGCGGTGTGTGGAGGTGTCGGGTTCCTCCCGTAATACACCAGGGGTTAAATCTGCCGCAGACTTTGGTGTCTCTTCTGCTGGATCAGACCCCCCCAGGAGTTCGGGATCCCAGAACACACGAGGCACAGGCAGGGATCCCGGAACACACGAGGCACAGGCAGGGATCCCGGAACACACGAGGCACAGGCAGGGATCCCGGAACACACGAGGCACAGGCAGGGATCCCGGAACACACAAGGCACAGGCAGGGATCCCGGAACACACACGAGGCACAGGCAGGGATCCCAGAACACACGAGGCACAGGCAGGGATCCCAGAACACACGAGGCACAGGCAGGGATCCCAGAACACACGAGGCACAGGCAGGGATCCCAGAACACACAAGACACAGGCAGGGATTGGATGGCTCAGTATCTACATTGTATTTGCAGGTTAGATATTTCTATAGAGGAAACATAGGGAGGTGGCTGAGCTGGAGCCAATCACAGGATAACAAGGGATACGTAGAGGAAATGAAACTCGCTGATCACAGGCTCTCATTTCTCAGAAATCACAGGATTTCCTCCTCAGGAACCCGACACTGGGAGGTATCACTGCAGTTTAACCCTCTCACTGCCGGGCCCGGCGCTCCACTTTTACACTCAGCTGGACGAACCATTTTGGCAATTTTTCCATTGATCAATCATTCAGTTTTCAGTGTTTGTACAAGACCCCCAACCAGACTTTTCCTGAAAGCACATGACCAGTAGAATAAAGAGAAGGGGCTACTGATTCTAAGGCCCCCTTGATATTTGCACAAATATTTATCAAAACAATATTTTTTGCCAAAAAAACCCCTAAAATCATTATTATCAAATACAAACACAGTAAATCTTACAAATTCCCGCTACGTTTCTACTAAACATTACAATGTAACCTGTATTGAGTTAATAAATAACAAATATTTGTACATTATAAATGGCGTCTTTTTGCGAAATGGTGAAAATCGAACGGACAAAAATGTATCTAAAAATCTGGAGGTTTTCATTTTTCAGCTTCCAGCTTTCAGAGTTTGTACAAGACCCCCCCAAACCAGACGTCTCCTGAAATCACATGACCAGTACAATAAACAGAAGGGGCTGCTGATTTTTTTAGGCCCCGCAATAGTTGCAGAAATGTTTATCAAATCGCTATTTTCAAAAAGCAGTAAAATCCTTATTGGCGCACATAGACACAACGTAACTTACAGAATTCCTGCTAAATTCCTACCAAGGCCTCATTCACATGGGGGGTAGAAAAGCATGTGCCCATGGGGGGGGCTGGGTTCACCTGCACGGGGATGGACAGGTGTTCTGTGCCTCCCTATGCAGACAGTCCCATTCATATGAATCTGCAAGAACAGCTCAGACATTTGTGCGGGTGTAGGTGTCGGTTCATTGGTCGGTAAAATGGGGATAAAACAGGTGGTGAGGGGGCATAGCATCGCTTCCTCACTGCCTGTCAGTAGCCTTTGAAGTGAGATCCAAATACAGATCAGGCTTCAGAGGCAATGGAGATTTAGATGTGTGTTAACTCTACCCTTACTATGTTTTTTATCTATTTTTTTTACATAGGTACAGTTATAGTTTTTTTTTATATTTTTTTTTGTGGGGGAAGGGGGCTTTGGAGAGACATTAGGGGTTCAAATAGACTTCTAATGTCATCAGGGTAAGGGGGGACACTGGCCATCAGGGTAAGGTGGGACACTTGCCATCATGGAAAGGAGGGGCACTGATCATCAGGGTAAGGGGCGTACACTGGCCATCAGGGTAAGGTGGGACACTTGCCATCATGGAAAGGAGGGGCACTGATCATCAGGGTAAGGGGGGGGGGGGGGGACACTGGCCATCAGGGTAAGGTGGGAAACTGGATATCAGGGAAAGGGGGGGCACTGTTCATCAGGGTAAGGGGCGTACACTGGCCATCAGGGTAAGGTGGGACACTTGCCATCATGGAAAGGAGGGGCACTGATCATCAGGGTAAGGGGGGGGGGACACTGGCCATCAGGGTAAGGTGGGAAACTGGATATCAGGGAAAGGGGGGGCACTGTTCATCAGGGTAAGGGGCGTACACTGGCCATCAGGGTAAGGTGGGACACTTGCCATCATGGAAAGGAGGGGCACTGATCATCAGGGTAAGGGAGGGGGGGGACACTGGCCATCAGGGTAAGGTGGGAAACTGGATATCAGGGAAAGGGGGGGCACTGTTCATCAGGGTAAGGGGTGTACACTGGCAATCAGGGTAAGGTGGGAAACTGGACATCAGGGAAAGGGGGGGGGGGGGGACACTGGCCATCAGGGTAAGGTGGGAAACTGGATATCAGGGAAAGGGGGGGACACTGGCCATAAGTGTAAGAGGGAACACTGGCCATAGGGGTAAAAGTGGGACGCTGGTCATTAGGGAATGGAGAAAACACTGGCCATCAGGATAAGAGGGATACCGGCAATCAGGGTAAGGGGGGACACTGTCCATCAGGGTAAGGGGGGGACACTGTCCATCAGGGTAAGGGGGGGACACTGGACATTAGGGTAAGGGGGGGGACACTGGACATTAGGGTAAGGGGGACACTGATCATAAGGGTAAGGTGGGGGAAACTGGACATCAGGGAAAGGGGGGGGGCACTGATCATCAGGGTAAGGGGGGGGCATGACATTGTGGTAAGGGGAGACACTGGCCATCGGGGTAAGGGGAGTCACTGGCCTTAAGAGTAAGGTGGGACACTTTCCATCAGGGAAAGGGGGGACACTGATCATTAGGGTAAGGGGGGACACTGGCAATCAGGCTAAAGAAAAAACACTGGTCTTCAGGGTAAGGGGGACACTGATCAGCAGGGTAAGGGGGGGACACTGGACATCAGGCTATCAGGCAAAGGCTGGAAACTGGCAATCAGGGAAAGGGGGGACACTGACCATCAGGGTAAAGGGAGACACTGGTAATAAGGGTAATGAGGGACACTGGCCATCAGGGTAAGGGTAGGCACATGCCATCAGGGTATGGGTGTACACTGCCCATCAGGGTAAGGGGCACTGGCCATAGGAGTAAGAGGGGGGCATTGGCCATCAGGGAATGGAGGAAACACTGACCATCAGGATAAGAGGGATACTGGCAATCAGGGTAAGGGGGGACACTGGCCATCAGGATAAAAGGGATACTGGCAATCAGGGTAAGGGGGGACACTGGCCATCAGGGTAAGGAGGGACACTGGCCATCAGGTAAAGAGTGGGCACTGGCTATTAGGGAAAGGTGGGGCATTGTGTATCTGGGTAACAAGGGATACTAGCCATCAGGGTATGGGTGAACACTGATCATCAGGGTAAGGGGGACACTGGCCATAGGGGTAAGACGGCGGCATTGGCCATAAGGGAATGGAGGAAACACTGGCCATCAGGGTAAGGGGGGGCACTGACCATATGGGTAAGAGAGGACACTGGCCATAAGGGTTATGGGGGACACTGGCCATAGGGGTAATAGATGAACACTGGCCATCAAGAGAATGGAGGAAACACTGGCCATCAGGGTAAGCAGGGACATTGGCCATCAGGGTAAGGGGGGACTGTGGCTATTAGGGAAAGAGGGGTTACTGGCCATCAGGGTAAAGGTGATACTGGC